TAACCACAGCTAGTACGTAAACATTATGTCATTATTTTTATTGACAGTATTAATGAGAATACTTGTATAGTCTTTTAGGGACTCCAGATATGACAGATACTTCTCAGGGGTTATACTAGGAAGTTGGTTGGTTTTTAAGTGTTAAGGTTATCTATAGGGTTCATATTCTCACTGTAGTAAAGGTTAATTAACTCCTCAACATACAAAATGAAAACTCAGCAAAATGCTTTGATAATAAAATAATAAAATAATAGTGTGTGTATATATATATATATATATATATATATATTTATTTATCTGTGGGCTCTGTTCTGAATGCCTTACATTTAATCCTCAAAATAGTGAGATGCAATTATCATCCCAATTTTACAGGTAGGAAAACCAGCACAGAGTGGTTAAGTAATTTATCTAAGATCACACAGCTAGTAAATGGTAGAGCTAGGATTCAAACACCAGCTATCTAGCTCTAGAACCCCATGCTCCTACATACTGTATATTGCCTTTCTAGATGGTATGAGATAAATATGCTCCATGAACTATGCAGGAAGCCATGAACTATTGGGACTTTATCCTCTGATATAAATTTTCTCTTTGTTAATCTGCCATCTTGAGAGAGAACTGTCTATGAGTAATGCAATTTTTTTGGTATTTTATAGGTGAAATTGTCATTTAACTCTTACTTCATAAATTATTTTTCCCATTTTAAAGGTTTCCCTAACATCTATAATTAGAATTTCTTGTGCCTTTTAAAGTTTTTCTTAACCTTCTATAGTATTTTTAAGAATAATATGTACTACGTATAGAAAATATAGAAAACAAAGAAGGTAAAAAAAATCAAATATGAATGGCTTATAACCACCGCTAACCTTACATGTACTGATTAGTAACCTTCTTGTGCTTGATGAACAGCTGCAAAACTTAGCATCTTAACACAGCAGCCCTTTGTTCCCGTAGATCTACAGGCTGGCTAAGGTGGTTTTGCTTCACGCTGTCGGTTGCCAGGACCAGAGAGAGGGATGGCTGGGACCTTTTCTAATAGTGATATAGCAGTTTTAGAAAGTGAGGCAGGTCTTATATGAGCTGTCATGGAAAGATCCTGTATTTACTTAAGTTATAAGAATAAGTTACAGAACAATATGCATATTGTTGCCTATGTATGCCTAAAAACTCTATATTTTTACAGTACATCTATACACGAAAAAGCCTCAAATCAGCTTTAAAATGACACACAGCAGACTGTTCGTTGTGGTTACTTTTGAAAATGGGGTTGAAATTTGGAGAAATGTTATGGGGAGGGGAGGCAGACTATGATTGACCTGTGTTAGAACTTTGTATAACAAGAATATATACATCACTAATAGCTTTGTCTAATGACGAAGTTTGGGCTCATGACAAATGTTTAAATGAGCCTAAGAAAAGAAAAAACAGTTGTGTTTTACTCAGATAAAGTTACTGCTACTTGATACAACAGAGAAAACCTGAAAATTGAGTGGCTTAACGCAAGAACTTTCTTCCGTACATAAAACCTGATGGAGGTTGGCAGAGACTCACTGCTGTCAGGTGACCAGGGATCCAGGCTGTCTCCATCATCACATGGGCTCCCCATGTTTGCCGCTGAATAGAAGAGAGAGCACGGAAGTAGCATACTAGCTGTCTTGTGCCTTGGCCTGGAGGGGACAAACATGCTTCTACTCATACATCTGTGGTAGGGGTTAGTCAAATGACCCTTCCTAACTATAAGTGGACTGGGAATGGAATCACTCCTACCAAATTGTAGGTGCTCAATTAAGAGCACCCTGTAAATCTTCCCTATAAATCTTAGCAGGGAGGGCTCACCCCTTGTCCCTCAATAGCATCCTTCGGCATAGCCATTTATAATAACCTATATAATCTCAGTAGGCTGAGAATTTTCTCTTACTTTTTTTTTTTAAATTTTATTTTTTATAAACATATATTTTTATCCCCAGGGGTACAGGTCTGTGAATCGCCAGGTTTACACACTTCACAGCACTCACCATAGCACATACCCTCCCCAATGTCCATAACCCCACCCCCCCCTCTTCCCACCCCCCTCCCCCCATCAACGCTCAGTTTGTTTTGTGAGATTAAGAGTCACTTATGGTTTGTCTCCCTCCCAATCCCATCTTGTTTCATTTACTCTTCTCCTACCTTTTGATGCATGATCAAAATCATGACTAACCACCACATGACTCGTGACTGAGCTTGTCTGAACACCGGAACAGGTGCCATTAAGCATACTGTGAAAACAGCATTTCCCTGAGACAGATACAGACAAGATTCCCTGGAAGAATGGTAAATTCTTTTTCCTTTTTATTGAAAGTCAGCATGTCTGCTAAGGACTCCAAGATGGGTTTTAAAAATTCACCCTCAGGAAATTGGAAGGGGACGTGAACCATGAGAGACTATGGACTCTGAAAAACAATCTGAGGGTTTTGAAAGGGCGGGGGTGGGAGGTAGGGGGAACCAGGTGGTGGGTATTGGAGAGGGCACGGATTGCATGGAGCACTGGGTGTGGTGCAAAAACAATGAATACTGTTACGCTGAAAAGAAATTTAAAAAATTTAAAAAAAAAGAAAAAAAAAAGAAAGAGGGCATTTGTTTGATGACCAAAACAACAACAACAACAACAACAACAACAACAACAAAAAAACTCACCCTTAGTAAACGTTTACTTACACAGTGATTTCCTCGGTCCTTCCTCATCTACCACCTCGGAGGGAGATTTTGGTTCTTGACCACTTAGTTAACCTCAGTCATCAGTGTGTGGATTCCATGGCCACATTCAAGTAAGATACTCCATCAAAACCCTACTGCAAATATCAGGTTGTTTCCTAAAAAAGTCCTCTCCAGCCTCAGAGTTATAAACAAAGGCCCTGTAGATTTCATGCCAAATCAGAGTTTACATAATAGCTGATTTGGCAAAACACACACACACATACACTTTGAGCGAAGCAGAAGCACATAGGGGAGATAAGGAGGTGTCTAAATCTCACTGTCAGCATCAGTTGCAGTCTGAGGGAGGCCAGGGGGAGAGATGGGAGCCTTAGGGAGTTAGAATGCTCTGAGTCAGGGGAGGCCGAGGGACAGCGGCTGTCTCTTCCACCAGAATCAGGTGCAGCCTCCAGAGGAGGACACAGAGGAGAGCTGGCCAGCAGGTCAGATCCTAGTTTGGACACAAAGGCCCAGTAGGGAAGTCCCAGGGGAGGGAGCTGTCATGCAGGAAAGTGCCGGGACTGGGGACTCCACACAAGTGCTGAGACCAGGGCATAGCCAGCTCTCAAGGGACCCTGGGGTGAGGGGCAGGAGGATCCTAGGAAAATGAACCCCATGAACCCCCAAACTGTGTTTGATTTTCATTTGCACCTTCCTTCTTTAAACCTGCTTTTAGTACTTCGGCCACAGGATCCTTCTTTCATTGCCTCAAAGCCATCATGGAATAGTGAGAAAAGAAAGTAATTAAGAGACAGAAGGTTGGCCTCAGGCTGCGAGGAGTGCAACAGCGTGGGCTCCAGAGGAATCAGACCAGGCTTTACCCCTGGTTCTGCCACTCCACCAACTATGTGAACTTGAGAATATTTCAAGTTCTTCATCTGCCAAGTAGGTTGGAGAAGCCCTGTCCTGTAGGACTGTTGGAACATATATAATGTATGTGAAGAACCTGGCACAGTGACTGGCAAATACTGGGTCTTTAATAAATGGTAGTTATTATTATGCTTTTTTTCACACCAGAAGAAACTACCCTCATCTTTGGGAATTTTTTTTTTAACCCAGGAGATGTCAGAGACTGCAGTGCTATCTTCTTGAATGGCAGCTATGCCACTGAGAAGAACCCCCAAGTGTCCTGCTTCAGAGAATTTATACATCACTGTTCTCACTTGCCCCTCTTCCTCATTGCTTTTTTTTTTAAAGATTTTATTTATTTATTTGACAGACAGAGATCACAAGTAGGCAGAGAGGCAGGCAGAGAGAGAGGAGGAAGCAGGCTTCCCGCTGAAGGGCTCGATCCCAGGACCCTGGGACCACAACCTGAGCCAAAGGCAGAGGCCCTAACCCACTGAGCCACCCAGGCGCCCCTCTCATTGCTTTTTTTTTCAAATTTGTCTTAAATGTTGGAGTTCATCACACCATCATTCTATATAAAAACTTTTCTTACACTCTAAAAACCTACGTGCAGGGTCTTCTTTATCCCTAGCATCATCACTGCTAACATACAACGTTCCAAAGACCAGATCCTCAATTAATGATAAGAATAAATGGACCATGGAGCAAAGAATGTAATTTATTACTATTTAATTTTATCTGCATTCTTGAATAAGTCAAGGACATTCAGGTATATATCCTTGAATTTTACAAAGAGAAAGACAAAAGTGAATAGAACAAACCAATATTTAACTACATTTTTCTTTGTTTCTATTTTAAAACTACAGCTATATTTTTGCTAGTTCTTTCATATTTGCAAGAAAAATCCACATTGCAAGCCATATTATCTTGTTCTGGAACCCAAAGAAGAAGCAAGGATTTTCAAGTTTTATTACACAACACCAAAACTCTTACTCTTAAGAAAATCCCCATTCCAAAGCCATATTGTGTTAATCTGGAATCCAAAGAAGATGCAAAGATTTTCAAGCTTTATTACACAACACCAAAACTCTAACTCTTAAGAAAAATCTCCATCCCAAAGCCGTATTATGTTGTTGTAGAACCCGAAGAAGATGTAAGGATTTTCTAGCTTCATTATACAACACCAAAAGTCTTACTCTTAAATCTGATAAACAGCAATGTGTGATCTATGTCATTTATAAACTTGGATTCTAAATCTAAACATTCTTCCTGAAAGGAACATTTGTAAGCTACCAATATTCGACAGGAAAACAAAGAAGATATATATTATGGCCTCTCCAACCCCAGCTTAGCCTCTCACTACTTAAAAGCTGGTGGCTCTCAACAACTACAAAGCAAAGAATCTGCCTCAGCCCTCTCTAGGGAGGAGAGGAGAGGCTGGACTTCGCCTGGGAACGTGCATCGGCCTGGGTAGTAGAGGCAGCCGCAGCTGTGGCTCTGGCTCGGGCTCGCTCTTCCTCATCTCGCAGAGCCTCTTCGTAATGGAATGGGAAGGCGCTGGGGACGGTATCATGAACCTTGGCCAAAAACTCCAGGACTCTCATCTTGCTGGTCTCAGCGTGGGCTCTCGGGCCCCACAGGAACTCGAAGCGTGGAGGATCACTACCGGGTACCTGGCGGTACTCCAGGTACTTTTCCTGCACCAAATCTTGGGTGATGAGCTTCCTGGAGTCCCCAAAGACTAAATGCTTCCTGCCATCATAGATGCCCAAAATATTCAGGAATTCCCAGATATCCTCCTCAGAGGCTCGGTTGCCACTCAAGAAGATCACACTCAGAAGAGGCATGAGAAGCCCATTCTTAGGAAAGCCCCAGGCACTGCTCACACTGCCATCGGTGGTGAGGTCTAGGCTGCTGACCAGGATATAGGAATGACGGCCTGGCTTGACTTCCTTTAATTCCAGGCCAAAGACCAGCTCCATGTGCTCAGAGGCTTTCCTGAGGATCTCGGGCAAGTGCTCCTTGTACCTTTTGTGGATGATCTTCAGCATGTCTGACTTCAAAATGGGTGCCCTCATTGTATACTTTTCTAGCAGGAACTGCATCAACATCCCTACCTTCCTGGTTAGAAGATCTTTGCGAGCACTCTCAGGGGAAGTTGAGGCCTGAGAGGAATTTTTCTTTTTCTCAGCTTGGCTCTTGGCACCTGCATTAGATCTTGGGCGTGAAACACCTGCAGTAGGAGAGCTAGTGGCTGGGGATCCCCGAGGCTCCTGGGAAGTGCCAGCAGCAGAGGAACTTGGGAGAGTATCCCCAGAAACAGGAGAGTCGGAGGACTCTTCAACATTTGCTGCAGTGGCCTGAGTACCCTCAAGGCTCTGGGGCTCACCTCGGGCCTGGCGGCGTTTCTCACGAGCACGGAGCTTACTCTTCTGGCCCCGAGGCATGACTGGGTCAGGGACAGCAGGCACAAGAGTGAGCTGGAAGGCAGGAGATGCTGGCACCTGGAGCAGAGAAGATGAGAGTGTGAGCACCTCAGCAGGGAGAGAGCACCTTGGCTTTTAAGTAGCCACCTTTGTAGATTTCCATGAGAGCACGGTTCTAGGACCCAACAACGCTGTTGCTCTTATTCAGCCAGGTGTCCTGAGAACCCAGTGGAGGAAGTCACAGTAATCCTAGGACTCCCGGGACTAACAGCGGGGTTGGGATCATGGGCTGCTCTTTCTTTTTATTTTTTTTAAAGTTTATTTATTTGAGAGAGAGGGAGAGCAGAGTGAGAACACGAGTTGGGGGAAAAGGCAGAGAGAGAGAAGTAGAAGCAGACTCTCCACTCAGCAGGAAACCTGATTTGGGGCTCAATCCCAGAACGCTGGGATCAAGACCTGAGCGGAAGACAGACACTTAACCCACTGAGCCCCCAGGTGCCTTCGGCTACTTTCAATTGGGTATTAAGTGGTGTCCCATTTCCTTACTCAGGATCTTCAACTTGACTCCAAACCCTTCCTGGGGCTCTGCCCTCTTCTGATCTGAGGCCATGACCCTTAGACAAAGGTGCTCACATTTCTAGAGCCTGAGTTGACAGCTAGAGTGAGCTGACTGGGGCCTATGCCTGCTAACAGCAGGGGCGAGACCCTTCAACCCCACTGTTCTGGAGGCAGTGGCTCCCTCAGACCTCATTCAGGACTTTGAACTTGATTCCAGGTAGAATTTGGTATTCCTCCATTTACCTGAGTCTACAGCCTTAAAGCAAAGGTTTCACCTCCCAGAGTAGCTAGAAAGGAAGTCACTGTGCTGCACATCTGGGTACCTCACTGGAGGACTTCCTGATACGAGAGCCAGGTACTGTTCTGCACAGCTCCCTATTCTGAGGAAAGGGGCCCTTAGCAGCACTGACAGTTCCACCTTTACTGTGGGGTCAGAACTTCTCGCTCGATCCATGGGGCTGCCTCCTTTAGATATAGGCCTTTCTCTACCTGAATCACCCCCTAGACAAAAATGAGGGGTTACATCAGCCCGAATTGCTCCAGGACATTCCAGGACCGCCAGCAGGAGTGGGGCGGCCCTCTTTAGACAAAGGCCCTCGCCTCCCTGAAGCAGCCTGGGTGGCAATGAGGACAACAGGATTGTTCGGCCGGCCAGTCCGCTGGGACCTCCCAGAGCCGGACCAAAGGGGCAGGTTAGGGGGCCAAACTTCCTTGTGGTGGGGGAGTAGCCTCTCCAGTTCCCAGTCAGGGTTCTCACCTTAACTTTAGAACAGTCCCGGGAAACCAGTCGCAGCCGAAATAAACGCCGCGCCCAGTGGTCGAGGTCCCGCCCAGAACGGAAGTCGGGTTATCCGCATCCGGGGGCGGGGACACCGGGGTCTCCGAGGGCTATAAGCAGGGGCGGGGCTCTGTGGGACCCCAGTGTTTGCGGCTCCTCCCTCTGGTGGCCCAGCCTCACCAGCCCCCGGGCCCCCACCCTCCTGAGTCCCTAGAGGGGAATCTCTGGTCCTGCCGCCCCCTCGCTACTTCGGGGCTACTCCTTTCTGGGCCGCACAAACCTGACTGGGGGCTGGGAGGGCGGGCACACACTCTGTGAGCCTTCCTCTTTAAGGGGAGATACATTTGCATTGAGGGTCCACACTTTGACTCCACCTATGGCCAAGACTTCTTCCTCTGCAGAGCTGGGACCTGTCCTGTTAGATAAGGCCATTTCTTCCTTGAGACTCATCAGGCAGAATAAGTGGACTCCTCGGTTAGAGCTCTTCTGGGTCCCCCAGGGCTAAGAATGATACAGGATTCTATTTAGCCTCCTTTGCTTTGGGGTCCTCTCGTAACACTCTTAGCCTTCACATGAATTCTTGTTAGGGCCCAGGTCCCTCCCTCTGCAAAACTGAGGCAGCTTTCATTAAACGGAGGCCCTCACCTTCCTGAGACTTTCCAGGTTGAAATCAGCCTGACATCTCTGCTCAGGTCTTTCCAGGCACGATGGCAGTGGAGATGTTGCGGGGTCTCCTTTTATGCTGTGGGTGCTGCTTTTGGGTCTTCATCTTGATAGATGACTGATCCTGTACCTTCTCTGTGCTTTCCTGTAGCTGCTCATCTTACCTATAGGTCCTCCTTTCCTGAGAATTCTAAGTTGGAAATGAGGGTGAGCCTCATCTGATCATGGTCCTTGGGTGCCTCCAAGAACAGACAGCAGGGATGTGATGCTATAGGACCTCGCTCTTCTGGCTGGGTCCTTCCATCATTTCTCACTCATGGTCTTCACTATATCTTTCACAGCATGGGCTTCCTTTTACTGAGCTAAGGTCACCATCCTTAGGTCTTTTGATGACCCCAATATGTTGGGGTAGTTGTCTTCTCAGTATTCATTCACAGGGGTCCTCATCTTGGCCTGTCTCTTTATTAAAGGCTTCCTGGGAAACAACTTGTACCTGCAAACACTCCACCAGTTTCTCTACTGCAAGTCTTGCCGAAAATAAGTCCATGTGCCAAGAGTGATATAAGATTAGGAAAATGCAGCATACATCAGGGAGCCCAAGACAGGTGTGGTGTCTGAGGAAAAGAAAAAAAGCTGATCTATTTCTTCTCTTCACTTAGGGTAGCTCTAAAAGATTTACTTTTTACAGAGAAGGATGGAGCCAGATGATTTTGTGAGCCCCTGATCTTTGGAGGATAGCTGATTTTATACATGGAGATAATCATATTGTCACTGTCTCATTCTCTCCTTTATTCATATTTATTTTGGTATTCTTATTGCACTTATTATGTATGCCAATCCAATGTTTTGGTCATGTAGTCCTCCTTTTTATCTCTTGAGATACATTCTGGAGTGATAGAAGAAAGTGAATTAAGTGATCCATGGTCAGTCTCCGGCTGGGAGGAATGGAAAAGTGTGAGGTCTGGACAGAACAAGTGTCTATGCCTAGCTCTATCACTTATTAGCTCTATGAACTGGATGCATTAGCAAGTTCTGTGGGCCTCACGCTCTGCATCTGAGAAGTGGGTTTGTTAAATCCTGTCTTGCAGGGCCTGGTAGACCATGGTTAATGTACATAAAGCTCCTGGAAAGATGCCTGGAATGCACTGAGACTTTACACAATGCCTGTTATTACAATGGTTATGATTATTTTGACCCCAGAGGATACCACCCACCCTGATGGAATATTCGTTTTAATATAGAAGATATCAGAGAATATATGCCACTCTAAGACCTGGAACACCAAATCAGTCCAAAGTGCTTCTTACAGAAACACTAAAGTAAATTACCACCTCCCCCATAATCATATTTTGAGCGTGGGGGAGTTTTTTCTACCTGAATGCAACTCAAATCTTCTAGAATTGGAGTCAAAGACTAAATCTTTCCTCTCAGCTGCCTTTTAATCCAAAGTACCCCATTTTCATTAATTTCACCATCATCTAAAATCTATACCTCCCTTAGTTTGCAGAATTAGAAGCCAAATAAAAAACAAAACAGAACAAAAACAGTAACACTGAATGCGAATGCTCTTTTAATAAAATGGGTTCTGATTCCCCAACTTACAGGAGAGAGTACCTGCCCAGTGGCTTCTCAGTTTCCAGCCTCAAAACAGTCCCACCCTTATGTCTCTGAAAGTCCCTGGAGATGACTCGCATAAACACCTAGTTTGTGCTCTGTGTTCACCTGCACTGGGGACAGAACCATAGGACATGTTCCACCCATGCCCTGGGTGGAGATACTCTCCGATTTACTCACAATCCCAAAGTAACTGTTAAAGGTAGTTTTCCATTCCAGACTCAAATCTCTCAACTCAGAGACCCACCACCTGGCTCACAGTGCCACAGCCACTTTAGCCCACTATACAGCTAACTTAAAATTATTTCCAATCATGGGCGCCTGTGTGGCTCAGTCAGTGGAATGTCTGCCTTTGGCTCAGGTCATGATCCCAGGGTCCCCAGATTGAGTCTTGCATCAGGATCCTTGCTCAGCAGGGAGCCTGCTTCTCCTTCTGCCTGCTACTCCCCCTGTTTGTGTTCTCTCTCTCTCTCTCTCTATCTCTCTCTCTGATAAACAAATAAGTTTTTTTTTAAAAATTACTTCCCATTGCAGGGCTTTCAGCTGCCCAAAGGCTCAAACTGCCTTGCCTCGGGCATTTTACACTAGAATACATCTGGAGTCCCCTTCCCTCCTTTTTACTCCCTATTTTTACTAGTCCTTTCTATCTTGGGGAGTATCTCACCACCTACATTATATGAGAGCTGCTCTTAGACTCCACAGTTTTGTAGGCAGGGGCTGGGCCTATTTTTCTTATCATCTCCAGTACTAGTCAAAGGAGCCTTCCAAAGAGCAGGTGCTAAATTAATATTTGGGCAATTAAAGAATATTAAATTAAACATTACCTTGTTCTGAGTGACAAGAAATGATTCAAGGGTTCCAACCGGTTTTACAAAATACTAAGATTCTTATTTTTCAACTTGAAGAAATGTTTCTGCAAGAAATGTATGACCCATGTCATTCATCAACTTGGATTCTGAAGTTAAATAAACCTTTAATTGAAAGGAAAGTCATTTAAAATAGGAAGAAAAGATACATCTCCAATTTATATGTTGTATAGGAACACAAGTATGTTACACATTGTATTTCTATGAACCCCACCTGGGCCCTCCACTAGTTAGCCAACTGACTGCCTTGGTTAATGACAAAGCAAAGAATCTTCTTCAGCCCTCTCTAGGGAGGAGAAGAGTGGCTGGACTGGGTAGGTGGCCTGGGTAGGTGCAGAGGTGTAGAGGTTACAGCTCTGCCTCAGGCTCTCTCCTCATCTCACAGAACCTCTTCATAATGGCGTGGGAAAACCACGGCCTTAGCAAAAACTCCAGGACTCTCATCTTGCCAGTCTCGGCGTGGGCTCTCAGGCCCCACAGGAACTCATAGCATGGAGGATCACTGTTGGTCACCTGCTGGTACTCCAGGTATGTTTCTTGCT